AAGTACGTAAATCAAGGTAGCGTGCTGACATCCATGATTCATCTATGGAATCAAGGTAGCCTTTACAACTGGACAGATTCCTTCTTGCCACCACATATTCAAAAGTCGGCACTTTAAACGCTGTCCCCAGTTTTCAAAAGGGTGGCTACTTGGGCTGGTTGGTATTGCATTTTTGAAAGCATTTGGTATTGCATTTTCGAAATCTTTCATTGCAGCCGTCCGAGGACTTCCGTTGCACTTAAGCGTCAGAATTCAGAGACACAAATACAAACATGCATGTCCTCGTTGGAAAAAAGCATGAAAGAAAATTTTGCAGTATGGCTTTGTTCTTGCACGGCCGGGCTAGACTGCACTTGCATGTGCTTCCCTCCTTACTTCTTTCTCACCCGTCACGAAAGTAGTGGGAGAGCTTCTGAGTATGTTTCACTACTTGTCGGCAGTAGGGGCGCTGTGACCCTGACCTTGCATCTCTTGCACTGCAGACACGGCACAGAAGTGTTGCTCGATGTGAAACCACACAGTGGGGGTTCTCGACCGAGAGGGGGAGGGGGATTGTTTAATAAGTTGGGCGTAGAAGGAGGATCGTGTCTTTAAAAACAAACTTGTGTAATGTTAAAAAGCTTATGTTATGCCGCATAATGTAATGTTATGCCGCATATTGTAATGCAAGTGCTCAAGCTGAAACAAGCTGAAACTCGGTAAAAATGCGGAAGAATCGGCTAACGAGGCATAATGCTGGAGGCTTAAAGCACTGGCATCGATCAGAAAGAGAAACAGGGCTGCACCTGTTCTGCAAGCAGAGAGAACCGAATACCTTTGGCTCTTGGTCTCGTTGGACAATAAGGCTGCAATCACGAGAGGTTGCTTGCAGAAAACGACGAGCACGCATTCCCTTGGCTAGGTATTTTCTATTTCTTTATTTTTCCAAGTTCAATAGAGGTAGTTTTAGGGCTAAAAGCTGTGGTCTGCAGCTAGACAGTCCTTTGAAGCACACACATGTGTTGTATTTGTAATGGTTAAAATAACTGCGTATGTGGAAAAAGAAAGTAAGAAAAAAGAAGGCATGAATCTTGCTGCTGATCAACCCTTCGGATGACACGCCCTGAGAGTGGTGGTGTCCATTGTCAAGGTACTAACACCACCTGAAAACAATAACTCCAGGGACCCAAGTTCCTTTGCATTCCTTTATACTCCAAGCCACGTCCATGATGAATGTGAAGAACGCAGCTGTTTACGCTCGCAAGCCGCTTGTCCTGGAACTAAAACTCTCTAGTGCAAATCAGTTCTGCACTATCTTTCTAGTTTGTGGAAGAACATGTTTAAAAAGAGAAACTGACAGCATTCAATCTTTTCAGCAAGTAAGCAGCTTTTTTCTAAGAAATATGTAGGAATTATTTTGTGGCTTAGTGCTACAAACAGGTTGTTGTCAATAGACCTCTACCGGGGTACGTCACAAGTGCACGTGCAAGGCGGCGATTGGCAAAACACTTCCACGGGTGGCGAAGTGGTGTGCAGTCGCTTGGTGCTTGGGGCAAGTTTTTTTTTCTTCTTGAAAGCTTAATCTTCATCTCACAGTGGCAACATTAGCTGAGGTATGTGTCAAAGAACATCTAGGTGTGTGGTAAAGTGCGTGATAAAATATTTGCCACGCTGGCTGGCTGTTTATCTCGGAGAAGTGAACACACATGGTGGCCTGTGCGAGGAACAGCGGCATCGTCTTCGAAAATGTGCAGTGTTGACTGTGGCGCGTAGTGTGCCTTGAAAGGCATCGACGATATTGGTTCACCTTTACGAACGGTGAAACTGGGAATATCGTGCGTGGTGTGTGCAGTGTGAATAACGCGATGAGTATTGTTTGCGAAAACACTAGTATTCGTTGTGTTTCGGTTACAGTAACCACTTTTCGATCGAACTTTGCGATCTGACATTTTAGTCAAGTTAAAAATGCATTTGACGCGATCATCTGCGAATGGGTACATTTCAGCGTATGCGCGGCGGGCAGAAAAATAAAAGTGCATGATCTCCGGGTGATATATACGACTACGCATGAGCTATAAGCATGTTGTAGCGTTGCCGAATCTGCATATACGCTTTACCACGGCTCTAACTCGTATTATCGGACACCTGATACGTGTTAATGGGAACAGGGGTGATTTTCGTTTCTTATCTACTTTGTACTTTTACGGCTCGATCCTTATGAAGTGGCAATGCGCATTGGAAGTTTTTGTATCAGGCCTAAAGGAGCAATATAGGTACGAAAACACGTTATAGGTGTCAAGTGCAGCAAGCTTACTGTGCCAGATATTATTATATATTAATAAGCTGTCGGATTTTAGATCACATGAATTTTCACTGAGTTATTGAGAAACGCAGCGACAGAATTCCAATTCGACAGAATTCCAGCGACAGGAATGTCTAGACACGCAGCTCCGCTATGCAGAAAGATGCCACCGACAGAACTTTCTTGCTAACCAGCACCTGCCTTGAAAGCGGGTATGGTGGGCGGGGTGCCGGCAGTGACGTCACACTGTTTACTAACAAGGACTGGTCTATTGCTCTTTCTCTCTAGTGTGGCTTGCTTTATTTTGTCATTTATTCACCGCACCTGCATTTCGTTCGGTGCTTTCTCAGTGTTCAGTCTGCAGTGATTTCCCTACTCGAGAAGGCGGTGGTGCAACTTTCCGCATGCACAGTACGTACACGGATATACATTAGCTGTGTGTTGGTGTATTGTTGTGTTCCGTAGTGCTAGTCCCGTTGGGGGACACACCCGGTGTTTTGTTTTTTCACCAATTGCCAAGCATTACTGAGCTGTGCGCTAAATGAAAAAAAAAGAATATTGCGAGAAAGAACCTCATCATCGACAAGTCTACATCGAATGTGGTATGTAGCAGACACTTCTGTGATGACTACGTGCCTGTGTGCCGCATCATAAAACTTATTCCCAACTCTGGGCCTACTTTCTGCAAGGACTACCTTCCTACTTGATTTCAATTGCATAGAAGCCTCACAACGATATTGCTTCACGAGCCTTGCCCCTATGTCAAACATCAAGGAAGGGAAAAGCGGAGGCCAACGGACCAGGTCTGGATGTTGCGACTTCACAAGATGCTTTCACTAAACAAGAAGCAGTAAGTGTTTGCACACAAACAATGAATAGCGACGCTCATCACGCAGGTCCATACCAGTTTATAATAGGAAGATCGCACTCCTAAGTGTTTTACCATCGTTCAAAATGTGAGAAAAAGCAGCAATTACTGAAGGAAGAGGAAAAGGCATCTGAATATTATCGCGCAAGCAAGCACCATGCATGTGTTGAGAAAAACTGAACAGATGCACAGACAGGAGAGAAAAAGGCCGTGTTTTCTTGCATCAAATTGAATATGAGGGAAAAGGCATTCAGCATACCCAGACGAAGTTGTCAGGGAGTGTTTGATATAGCGTTTTCTGTCCCTAAAAGGCTTCAGTCATACTCGCACTTTGGGGCTTCTGACACTGACAATAAAGCGCACTCTTCAGAGGTATATAGCCTATAATATAGGTTCAAGCCCAACATCATTGGGTATGAGAAATGCTATCAACTATTTGTGTGTTTTGAACAATTAGGCACTTTGTTTTTCAATGTGCGGTGAGTGAAGAAGTGCATCCAAACTTGTGTACCAACGCTGCACACGCTGCACGGAGCAGCGGAGGAGGGTCAGGTTTGTAGTGCCCCCCTCAAAGCAGTGGCAAGAGACATGTACTACACCTGATGCGAAGACTGTAAGAAGCGAGCAAACAGGTGCAGTCTAGCCCGACTGTGGTTCTTGCAACGTTGTCGTTACTCGTTGTCCAAGCAAGGTACACAGAATGCACAACTAATAGTTATTCTTGTTTTTTTTTTTTTTTGCAAAAAAGTATAGTTTAAATGTGCGCAAATTAGGCGGGGGGTGCAAATCAATAGTAAATACAGCAATCCAGGTCGAATCAGATCTTATCCAATCCACGTCCTAAATAGTTGAGTCAGTAAATACAGCAGTTCAGGTCGATCTATCTTTTCTTGTATCAATTCTTCCACACCTCTTTCACCACACACCACTTCACTTTATCTACATTCACTCCTCCTACAGTCTCGAAACGGGCCTGCACTACACTCTCAAGAAATAAATAAATTCAATTCAATCTGATCCACATCCTAAGCAGCGTGAGCTACAGAGTCGTTACAGTAAACAGATTATACTCCACTGGCAGAACTGGTCAGGCTCCCGTGTCCTCATTTTGCACAGATGTCGCGAGATGGGGCCACTTCTACGTTTCCTAGCAGCTTTGACTACGTTGTAGGACTATTGCTGGCTCCTTCAAACTTTCATCTGTGGTTACTTTCAACTGGTGTGTTTGCTTCGTGGTTCTTCCGAACATCAAACAGCTGACTTGCTCACTGCCTGGCTCAAGGATTTTATTTGGCCAGATATACATATTTTTCACATTTACCACATGTGCTCAGAACAGTGAGTATGTCTAGTAAATATGTTTACTTATTTTATATGGAGCTCCTGATTTATTTTTTTATCACTCGAGGGTTTATTGCTAGAGCTTAGAGTTTTCTGGGCAGACGTGGCAGTCATGAAATTGGCTTTCGATCATCATGGAAAACCTGGAAAAGTCAGGGAATTTAGAAATATCAAATTTCTAGACACCTTCGTTATTGAACATAGATATATTTGTTGCTGAGCGAATCTTGATGCAAGGTAGGCAAAGAATATCTTGACAGCTGTTTCGCCAGAAGCAGTTATTTTTTACGTCCTAATGAACGGAGTATGTAATATTCTGGAATTTTCCGTTAGTCTTTTTGTGGGAGAGGGCTCCAAGAGTTTTTGACCTAGCAATAAATGTGAAAATCTGATGGAGCAAAGTCGCGCTGTCTCATCTATAGCATTGTTTCCCATAATACTCCAGGCAGTTCAGTGAAGCATGCCGCTGCAAGTTCACCAACATATTTATTTTTTGTTTTGTGCGTGCAGTGTGAAAGAAACGCACCAGATGGCAGAGGCCAACCACGAGAAGAATGCCAAGCTCAAGGAGGCCTTGGGCATCAGCAGCTTTTTTGTGGAAGGCAGCTCCTTTGACCCAGACCGCAAAAACCGTGAGGCGGCAGCTGCTCTGCACAACAAGCAGCAGCAGCTACACAGGTAAGGGTTGGCAGTGTTTGCTTGCCGTCCAACTTGGATTGCTCCTTTGGCGTGAAATCTATATATGTATGCTGTGTGTATTGTTTTAGAAGCTTGCTCGCTTCTTATGGCATGTCCCTTGGCTAGACCAATGTAACCATTACATGCCCTTTTATGAAGTAGGGAAGCGAGCTACCCACTACACATTTGCAAAGAATTATGTGCACTTGAGTTACCAACGAGGCAAGCCCGTGAAGCAGAGGTGGCACGATGCTAGCAGCAGCAAGATGACCTCGACTTACAACTGCAATCTAGATTCTCTCGCCACATACTTCACCGACCACAAAATTGTAATTTTTCAAAAGAAAATGCGTCCCATCAGTAATGTAATTTTTGTATATCATTGCATCGATATCTAAATAATTACACCTTGTGTATATATGTCTACATAATTTCATTGAACATTATTTACGTAAGTGTATAATCAATCACACATATATGAATGTGCCACATCTTTATTTGATGGTTAATTGATATGTGGGGTGTAACGTGTCGAAACCACCATATGATTATGAGAGACGCCGTAGTGGAACGCTTTGGAAATTTCAACCGCCTGGGGTTCTTTAACATGCACCAGAATTTGAGCACACGGGCCTACAGCATGTTCGCCTCCATCGAAAGTGCAGCCGGCGCAGCCGGGATTTGATCCCGTCACCTGCAGGTCAGCAGCCGAGTACCTTAGCCACTAGACCACTGCGGCGGGGCACTTTTTATATGATGGTAGAGGACTTGTACAGGCAATTCAGATTCTTCCGATCAATTTCGAGCAAGCTCTTCCATCATTGTTCACTTCGTGAAGATAGGTGGAATTTTTTTTTCTCACTAACTGATCATTCATTAATAATAATCATTTGCATGTATGCTATGTTTTGTGTGTCTATTTGGTATTAAGAAATTGATATTGACGCAAAAGCCTAGTGCACTGAAGCACTTAAGGGCAAAGTCTGGTCCACCAGACGAAACATTTGTGAAAATGTACAGTGCCAAACAAATAATGGTCTTTATCACCTATATATATGCGACAACAAGAGACTGTGACACAGTAACGTAATTTAAATGCTTGAATGCACTACATGCAGCCAACAGTATATCGGTCAAAGAGAAGGCCCTTTTTGATTATGATTTAACAATCGTAAATCTCACGTTAACGCATTGCTGAACTTGCCCATATCAATACATGTGTATCTCCCTGGTCACTTTTTTAATAAGCTCAAGGCCACTTTACTTGAGTCCGGCTTTCGCTCTAATTGTGACAGGGAAGCCCGGGAATCCTTTCTAATTCACAAGTTTGATATCATCGCATCTAGTTTGAATCAATGTGCTAGCAAATTTACTTGTCTTTCACTGTAATCCACCTGTTTAAAAAGTGTATTTGTTCATTGAGCTGCGACGATTTTGTGCCTTTGTGTTTTTTTAGTGCTGTTACCTTTCCAATTTTACTTTTCCTTTTTATTGTGTATCAGGATCGTCATTGCACCATTTGCATCACCGATGGTCTTGATGTGGGCATGTATACGCAAATGCAATGTTGCTACACATTTCATTCTGATGAAGCTCGGACCTCGAGTGAAAGGTCAATAAAACTGCTTCGCACATGCATGCTTGAATATTCTGCATGCGTATATATGTACAGTAGAATCCTCTTAAACATAACTCGAAGGGGATCCATAAAGCTGTTCCATTTATCAGAAGTTTAATTTAGGCAAAGTACACTTATTTAGTGAACCAAGACCTTTATTCAATTTGCACAAACCTCACCTTACTCGTGAGGATGAGTAGGAAAAAAAAAGGAGGGAAGAGTGGTTTGTTTGGCAAGCTTGAGTTGTTTTTTCACAAGGTACGCACCCGTGCCTGACAAACTAGCTAGGAATTTCGGACAAGCCTCATGCTCGAAATAGCGCTGCAAAAGTTCCAACAGCTTCTTTAGCTGATCGGTCTGGTAGCACCACTGCACTGTCAGTATTTTCATCACATTAATCGCTGAAGGGTTGATCCTCAGCGTGCACTTCTGTAATCATTTTCTTGACAGTCTCTTCACGACAGGTAGGAACATTTTCATCAATTCATTTATAGTCCTGCAGCATGAAAGTGGTAGAGGGTACGACCTGACTGAATACTGTCTCAATGTCGGCATCAGCAGGGCTTTCTTCTTCATCAGGTACTGCTTTCTTGGGCTTGAAAGCCAGCATGGTGAAAGAATTTGTGTATTGTTGTTGCCTTCACTTGCTCCTATGCAGAAGCCAAAATGTGGATGGCTGCCAATAAATCTACGCTGTAGCATTTCCCGCTGCCTGCTCTACGCAGCATTTAATGGAGCAATTGTCTGCGGTAATGAACTTTAATGTTCTGAATAACCCCTTAATCCATTGGCTAGATCACTGCCATTGCATTGGCTGGCAAGAACTTCAGAGTGATGGCTTGTAGTACTTGAACCTGACCGTGGGCTGGGGAATTATCCACGATGAAGACAACCTTCCTGCCTTGCCTCGTAAATCTTGGGTCTTCTTTCCGAAGCCAGTTCTCGAAAATGGCCATGGTCATCCACACTTTTTCGTTCCCATGGTACGCAACGGGAAGGTGTCGAACGCCTTTGAAACAACATGGGTTCCTTGATTTTCTGTTACCAACAGCTTAAATTTCTCATCTCCTGCCATGTTTGGACCTACCAGCACAGTGATGTGATCTTTATTGCGGTTTCCTCCACTACAGGCTTCGCCTTTGAAGGTGAGAGTCTTTGATGAAAGCGCATCTCATCGACGGGGAGGACATCTCATGGCTCAAAGCTCGTCAAAATTTTCGTTAACTGCCCCTGTTGCCAGTCGGTGCAAATGTCCCTGTTTACTGCACCACTCTCACTTGAGATTGCTTTGAAGACTAGGCCATGGCGTGTTTTGAAGCGGCTGAGCCATTCGTCGCTTAAGACAAAGTTCTTAACACCCATTTGCATGGCGCGTTTTCTCTCGAGCTTTCTGCTCGAGAATCGGTCCGCTTATGGGCAAATTGGAACTCCGTGCATGCTTGAACCACAGAAAAAGAACTTTTCTAGTTGTTCATAAGGCGTCGTCCGCATCCGTTTAGATGTAAAGGTCCGTTCTTATCAGTGCCTTCAATCTTTTCTCCGTCTTTCCAGATCCGCGACAGCGTCGATTTCAGGATGTATTTTTTCGCCACCTCCATCTTGGACAGGCCGCTTCGATAGAACTCCTGAAGAATTTGCAGCTTTTTTTCAAGTGAGAGTGTATGGTGCGGTCGCTTCCTTTCCATCAGGCTGAAAGAACACCGTGATCCACCACACTTCGCCGCACAAATAAGCCTAACGCACAATTGACTCGCCCACAGAACACCTACTGGTTTAGAGAACAGAAACTGTACCTTTGGGTTGTTGTATCAAAATAACATGCAAATACGTAGCGGTGGCATACTGAGCTTCACTTCACTTTATTACCTTAAAGACCCCCTAGAGGGGGTATTACAAAAGGGGTGGAAAACATACATTAAATATAATACATATGCAGGATGGGTACAAGTATGAACAGGGGTAACCAATACAGAAATAAAAGAATACATGTGCAGGATCAGTATACATATTAACAGGCGTAACACCTTGCCAAAAAGAAAAGAAGACAGTGAGAACCAGTGGCACAAAAAGGAACAATGTAATGTATTCAAATTGAAAAGAAACGAGTGACATTTTGTGTAAATGTTGAGTGGCACATTATGGTGGCGAGATCAGTGGAAAGGCCATTCCAGTGGGAAGCTGCATGAAAAAAGAAGGAGGCAGAAAATGTCATGGTACGGGCGCGTGGCCGGCCGTTATGAAAGGAATGAGTGGTGCGATGAGATACGCGGGCAGGAGGCAGGATATAGGGCGGGTGGCCCTATATCTTGCCTCCTGCTCGCACATCTTTATAAGCTTTATATATAGATTTATAAGCTTGTAGATTTACAAGAGGGAGAGCATGACGTAAGTGCCGCTTTAAGAACCCAAGCGATCTGTTAGCTGATGATATGACATTGGTAATGTGGACGCGCCATGATAAATCGTTACTCAAAGTGACTCCCAAGTACTTGTATGTGATGACATTTTCCAATGCAACTTTACCGATTTAATAAGAATAGATGAGGGGGCTGCACCGACGGTGAAACGAGAGGGACTTGCATTTATTAGGGTTTAGTGTCATTAGCCAACGATTGCACCAGTTAAGCACATGGTTAATGTCATCTTGTAAGACAACTTGGGCTGATGTGTTAGTAATAGTACGATATATAACGCAATCGTCTGCAAACATACGAATATGGCTGGATACATGAAAAGGTACATCGTTAATGTACCGTATATACTCGTGTAAGGGCCGCCCTCGTGTAAGGGCCGCACCCCAACTTTGAAAGCGGATATTTCGAAAAAAAAAAACAAAAGTTCAAAATGTCCCGCCAGAAAAGTGTAGTTAGTTCATTTACAGCCAGATGGCGCTGCACGCTTTTCCGCTTTTATTCTACTTCCGCCGACGCGCCGACCACGCTGTTGACAGCGCGCCGCCATATTTGCCTTGTGCGGCCTCTTTGTTGGCATCGTTCCTAGCATCGTGTCGATACGTTGGCAGCGCGACTTCAGATCGGTGTCGTCGGTGTCACTTTGTTGGTTGTAGTGAACCCTGCAGAAGCCAGCGCACGTGACGGACGATGGGCCGGCATCTGAGATCATTCACTGCAGCATTTAAGCTGCAAGTGATTGACTATGCCGAGGAGCACGGGAAGCGGGAAGCTGGACGAAAGTACGACGTCGATGAGAAGCGCGTGCGTTACTAGATGAATCAGAAAGATGCCCTCGCCGCTACTAACAGGAGCCGAAAGGCGTTTCGCGGGAAAAAGTGCAAGTACCCGCAACTCGAAAGCGAGCTCGTCAACTACGTCGTCGACACACGAAGGGACGGCTACGCCGTATCGACTGACATGATACGCGT